CGCTCACTTAAAATGTTTGGTAGGCCAACATAGGGTAAATAACCTTGGCGTTTCATGATTTGTGCGGTTAACCAAGGTACCTTGTAGGCGATGACCATCGGTTTTTTATACAAAGCGGTTTCTAAGGTTGCCGTACCACTAGCCACTAAAACGACATCAGATGCGGCAATGGCTAAACCTGCATGACCGCATAAAAGATGAATTTGTTCTTTAAATTCATGATGATCCATCAAGTTTTGTAAGGCCGGCATCAAATTTTCGTGAGCGACTGGAATGACAAATTGGCAGTTCGGGTAACGTGCGGATAACAGTCGAATGGTATCAAAAAAAACACTTCCTAAGTATTTGATTTCACTGGAACGACTGCCCGGTAAAATGGCAATCACGGGGTTTTGACATTGGGCGGCACTAAGACCGATGTTTTGTCTTGCAGCTTGGGTATCGACTTGGTGAGCGATTTGTTCTGCTAAAGGGTGACCAACAAAAACTGCTTGAATGCCTTCTTTTTGATAGATAGCAGGTTCAAAAGGAAATAAACATAACATTAAATCAACCGATTTTTTGATGCCATGAATTCGATCACCTCGCCACGCCCAAATCGAAGGAGAAACCAAATGTACGGTTTTAACGCCTTTTGTGCGTAATTTGCGCTCTAACCCTAAATTAAAATCTGGCGCATCAATACCTAAAAAAAGTTCAGGCAGGTGTTTGTCCATATCTTTCAATAGGCTATGTCTTAGCTTTAAAATTGAAGGAATATGCGACAACACTTCTACATAACCCCGTACCGCGAGTGGATGATAGCTATGCGCTAAGATCATCCCCGAGTCTTGCATTCTTTTGCCTCCGACACCCCATACTGGGGTAGGCGTAGGTAAAAGCGTTTTCAGGCTTTGTAAAATTGGTGCGGCAATGAGATCGCCCGATGCTTCGCCTGCACACGCTGCAATATAGGTGGACAGAGGAGGTGGGCAGGTTAACATGGTAGTATTTTGACAAGAACTTGTTTTATGAGGAAGCTATCGATTGGGTTCAAAATTTTAAAATTCAATTTATCAGTTGCTGATTAAATTGAATTTTGTCATATTTATTTGTCGTAAGACATGGAATAACCACTGCCATCGGCATTGATCACACTGGTTAAAACATTAAAAACTTTACCATCAACATAGGTAATATCGATTTCACCCTCATCATCCTTATAACGACGCAGCTCACACTGATGTTTTTTGTCCTGACAAAGCTCGTGGTTGACGGGCTCTTTTTGAATTTCACCGGCTTCCCCGAGAATGCGCTGCATATCTACTGGCGTTTTGCCCACCCAAGTGTTAGGAGCCTGATCACCTTTGTAATGACCAAAGTCCATTGCTGGCAAACCTTGTTCATTATTGATTTGTTTTGCAGATTTTTGGGGAGCTTGTTGTTCCGCTGATTTTTTGTCGCTCGTGTCGTTCATGAGGTCATCGACCCATTTTGAGCAGCCACTGAGAAAACCCAAGGTCATTAAGCAAGTGGAGAGGAAAAGTGTTAATCGAGACAAATGGGGCATTGTATTTTCTTGGTTTGGTCTAGTGGAAACTGTTTAAAGTTTCTCACATCCCACAAAAAACGATGTTGGATGTGAGCTCTGAGTTTTATTGACTTGCTTTGCGCAAAGACTGGATATAGGCCTGCAACTTTTGCGTTTCTAGATAGGTTTTAATTTGCGGTTCAACTTGTTCAAGGGGTGGTGCTTTTTGAGCACGAACATCTTCAACCAAGTAGATATGATAACCAAATTGGGTTTTAATGGGGCTAACAGATAAGTCACCTTTTTTGCTGCTTGACAAAAGTTTAGATAATTCACCCACAAAACGACTGCTTGGCGTGTAATCGACCAAACCACTTTGTTCACGGCTTGCCACATCCAACGTTTTTTCTTTAGCTAAATTGGCAAATGTTGTACGCATCTCTTTGCTCGCGCGAATACGACCCAGCAAAGCGAAAGCTTCATCTTCTTTTTCGACA